ATATAGGGATGGCTGGTTAGCTCACTGGGTGAGCGTGGTGCTGACAACACCAAGTCAAGAGTTAAGATCCCCTTACCGGTCATCTTTTTTTCAAAAAAACAGATGTTTCTACAGAGCTCAGCACAAATCCTGAATAAGTGCTGTCTACAGTTAATAATAATAATAACAATAATATTCATATAGCCCATGATTCTAAGACATGTTTTTTTACATTAACAGCTCTGAAATTGGGATGCATTTTATAATCTATGGCATATCATTTAATTGGTAGGATTTTGTTCTTTTTTGATGCATGAAATAATAGTGCATCTTGCAATTGATAGTGTCATCAAATTAAATCTAATAATAATAACAATAATATTCATATAGCCCATGATTCTAAGACATGTTTTTTTACATTAATAGCTCTGAAATTGGGATGCATTTTATAATCTATGGCATATCATTTAATTGGTAGGATTTTGTTCTTTTTTGATGCATAAAATAATAGTGCATCTTGCAATTGATAGTGTCATCAAATTAAATCCACTAATAACAATGATGATTATAAATTAAAAATTAGAAAGCAACAAATCTAGTAATTTGTTGTAATCTTTTATTGTTGAAATCCCAAGCCCATTGAAAGTAGTGCAGTGAACCCCCAAGTATTCATCACCCAGCTTTAACTCCTGGCCAGTCCTGTTTCATTTATATCTCCGCCTCGTCCATATCACCCCAACTATTTGAAGCAAATCACATGCCATCTACATAGGCTTCATGCATATCTCTAAAAGGCAAGGATTCTTTAAAAACAACCACAACACTACTATTATATCTAAAAATTGAACAACTAATTCCTTAGCATCATAAAATATCTAACTAGTGTTTGAATTTCCAAGTGTCTTATACATGTTATGCAATTCTTTTATAGTTTGTTTGAATCAGGATTTAATAAGACCTGTGCAATGCAATTGACTGAGACCAGTTGACATATCCTATAAGTTGTTTTTAGTCTGTAGGTGTCCTCATTGTCTCCTTTTTTCCTGGCAATTTATTTGTTGAAGACTCCGTGTCATGGTTCTGCAGAGCTCCCCACAGGCTGTACTTTGCATCCCCGTGGTGTAGTTTCACACGTCCCTCTGTCCTCTCTGCATCCTATAGATTGAAAATTGGATTAGGTTCAGGTTTGATTCATGCATTTATTTATTTTTTGGCAAGACGACTTTGTAGGTAGGATTGTGTATTTCCACCAGGAGGCACATGATGTCTGACTGTCTCTCTTTTTGTAATAAAAACAGCTATAGGGTCTCAGTGGATGGACTTATTAATCCATTAGGGATCCTGAAATGGTGATAATTTGAATTCTGATACTCCTTCTTTATTGATAATACTGTTGTGGTTATGCTTTCAAAAAGAGTCATTATCTTTTAGCTGGGATGCTTCTGTATAGGGAAACTTCTCATCTAGCGTGTGGTTAAACTTTGGCACTTAAGTGGTTTCCTTTGTTCGACATCTTTAATTCTGAGCTTGCAGTTTGACTGGATGTGCTGACTTGTGGTCCTGTGGTGCCCACTTAATGGGCATTGATTATTCATATTACAATGACCATTATTGTTATTGTCATTCCTGCCACTGTATATGTCCTAGGCAGTGCTCTCCATCAGATGACATCTGCACGGGGTGCTGGGATAGGTTTGAAATAGGTTGAATAAAAGGTACAGTCCTTGCTCCCTGTGGACTCTGCATGTCATCAGGGATGCCAGCCACAAAGACAAACTCATTAAAGCCCGCACATTTGCCTGCAGCCCAGCTCCTGCTAATTAATTAACTTATAGCCAGGGATAGGAAGATGGAGCCCCATGGGGAAACCTTGCCAAGTATGTGAAATTGGAGGTTACAGGGAGACATTGACAAGGTGGATTATTTTAAGAAGTTGGCAGAACGTCTAAGAGAAATGCACCAAGGAGACTTAATGGTTAGGGACCCACACACAGGAAAGCCTTGGGGATGGGGAAGAGTATTGAGGGACTCATGTGAGCCACTGTTTACATGTATTATCTCACTCAGTACTTACAGTGACCCTATGGAGGTGGGTTCTATCATCTCTGACTTTACTTATGAAGAAACTGAGGCAGAAGGTGGTTACGTGACTCACATAATGCTGCAGAACATCTGGCAGAGTAAGGATTTATAATTGCAGGCATCTCTTCACCACCACTGAGAAATTAGTTAGCTTCCCCCTCACTTGTGCTTTTTCTGTAAAAGTGAACCTCATTAGTTAAGGCTATAAAGCAAAAGTGAAATTTCATGAATGCCTATTATATATTAACAGGTGAAGTATAATTTGGAACAAGAATAAAAGAAATGCAAATCCAAGGTATAATCAGATATTCTTATTACAACCTTGAGTGATTAAACTCCTTGACTGAGTCTTGTTTTGTCAAACCTGGACAGATTGAAGTTCACCAAATCTTGCCTGAGTTGTCCACAGCTCCAAGATCTGTGGCCAAGTGCCGTGTGTCTAGTATTGATTTTGTTGCAGTTTTACTTGCTCCAGGAGATTTTACATTTTTTTAAAAAAAACAGCTTTATTGAGGTATAACTTACCTACCATAAAGTTCACCCATTCTAAGTGTACAATTCAATGACTTTTAGTAAATTTACAGGGTAGTTCAATTAGCACCACAAACCAATTTTAGAACATTTCCATCAGCCCCCAAACCCCTTGTGCCCATTTGCAATCAGCCCCCATTTCCAGCCCCAGCCTCTGGCAACTACTAATCTACTTCTGTCTCTGTAGATTTTCCTCTTCTGGACATTTCATAAAAATGGAATCATATAATACGCCGTCTTTTGTGACTGACTTCTTTTGCCTAGCATAATGATTCTGAGGTTCACACATATTGTAGCATGGATCAGTACTTGGCTCCTTTCTATTACCAAACAATTTTCCATTGTATGGATAAACTGTATTTTGTTTATCTATTCCAGCTGATGGACATTTGGATCGTTTCCACTTTGGGGCCATTATGAATAAAACTGCTATGAATATTTGCCTACAAATCTTTGCATAGACGAATACTTTCATTTTTCTTAGAATTTCTGGATCATGTGGTAAACTTACGTTTAACTTTTAAATAAACTTGCAGTGTTTTCCAAAGTGGCTGTCCCATTTTACATTCCCACCAGCAGGATATTATGAGGGTTCCAATTTCTCTACTCCTTACTAACATTTGGTATTGTTTGTCTATTTTTTTCTTTTTGGTTATAGCCATCTTAGCGGGTGTGAAATGGTATCTTATTGTGGTTTTAATTTGCATCTCCCTAATGACTAATGATGTTGAGCATCTGCCCCCAAAGAGTTTCAGTTGTGACTCTAATGCACATGCTTCAGTGTCACCCTTTGCACCAATACACTTTGATACTCTAATTGCCACAGAGAAGTCTTACAGAGGAAAAGAAAGCCAATTCAAAATTCTTGAAAAGCTGTTTTTAAAGAGAAGACAATTATATAACTCATTCCCACAAAGTGCTTCTTTAATCTAAGACAAGCAAAACTGTTATATTTCAACTTTTGCTATAGCTAGAATACTAAAGTCCATTAAATTTACGACTCCACAGTTGTACTGTCAGGTTCTGTAGGTACAAATCGGTTGTGACAGCCAGAAGCAGGTCATGTCCTGTGTCTGTGCTATGGTGGCCCAAACACAGGAGGGCAGGCCTGCTGCTGGGGTGGTTCAAATGCAGCTGGTATGAATCGCAGGGTCATGAGGGCCCACAAATGGGAAAGACGGCACGTGGCCACTCCCAGCAACCCACACCTGTCCGCTGCTCCCACCACCATCATCACCTTCATCCTGCTGGTAACACAGGCAGCCCACAAGAGAATAGGAGTGTTCTCCAATAAGAGGCTACTCAGTAATGTTTTCTATGTTTTCCTTGTGTCAAGAGTCGGCCTGTAAGATGCTCAAGGATGGGCCGGTCCTATGGCTTAGGGTGGGGATGGTGACTCCATACAGGCAGCCCACAAGAGAATAGGAGTGTTCTCCAATAAGAGGCTACTCAGTAATGTTTTCTGTTTTCCTTGTGTCAAGAGTCGGCCTGTAAGATGCTCAAGGATGGGCCGGTCCTATGGCTGAGGGTGGGGATGGTGACGCCACGTGAAGCCTGAGGACTCCAGCAGGCCAGCCTTGCCACCCCAGCCCCGTTGCCCTTCTGGAGAATGGCTGTGGGAGACAGGCTGCTGCTGCCAGAGTCTGCAGGAAAGTGGACAGGCTGGCGCCCCTGGTCACTGGGGAAGCCCAAAGGCTGTGGCCTGGGTGCTGACAGTCTTGTGTTCAGTTGCCCTCTCCGGGCCTCAGCTTCCTCACCCATGAAAGGACAAGGGTGTTCTGGCCAGTCTGTAGATCCCTCCTTCCTCGACTCATGCTTGTGAAATGTCCCTGGGCAGAGGGAGAGAAGGGCGAGGTGAAAGAGAGGGACAGAATGAAGCTGGAAGGGGAGCATGGCAGGGACAGCAGAAAGCTCCAGGCTGCAGAGACCCTTTTCTGCTGCGGTGTGCTGGCAGGACTTCTCCGTGGGTGGTGGGTGCACCTTGGTGGAACACCTCGCCCTCCCTTTCTCCCCCTGGCCAGCCCTGGGCCTCAGGCCATGAGCAGCCGCCTTGGCCCCAGCAGGCTGCAAGGCCCTGTCCAGGTGGAGGTCCAGCAGTTTTGCAGCCCTTCCCTCTGATCTTTCACCTACCCGCTCTGGACAGGCATCTGGCCCAGAACCCTTTCATCTGCGACTGTAACCTCAAGTGGCTGGCTGACTTCCTGCGCTCCAATCCCATCGAGACGAGCGGAGCCCGCTGTGCCAGCCCCTGGCGCCTCGCCAACAAGCGCATCGGGCAGATCAAGAGCAAGAAATTCCGGTGCTCAGGTAGCTGCCCGTGTCCCCACCCGCCCACCTGTCTGTCTTGAGTCTGCTCAGGGACCCAGTGGCATTCTCTGGAGGGCTCTAACAAGGGTGTCCTCGGTTATTCTGGACCCTTGCTGGATTCTAGCCTTGGAACTGAATGGTGGTTCAGTCCCATCCCTCATTTGCTGAGGCCTAGGGGAGAGGTAGGGCTTGCTGAAGGTCCCAGAGGGAGGACCCAGGTCCCTCCACTCCCAGGCCAGGTCTCTTTTTTGCCGCTGCTCTCAAGCCTATTAAGACACTTGGGAGGCCCGGGGAACCATCCTCACTGAGCTAGGAGCCTCCTCCAGGCTTTGAGATGGCAGAAACAGCCTCAGAAACTGCAGTGCACATAGCATGCAGCTGGGGACAGTGTGGATCAGCTTCTGAGCCCAGATCCACCCCTGCCCTGTCCCCGTCTGTAAAGTCAGCACAGTGGCTGCCTCGTGCCATTGCAAGTGAGTCCAGTGGTTTGAGTGCGTCTTGCGGAAGTTTAATTGGATGTGGTGCTGCCTCCACGCTGGCCCTGGCAAGGAGCACGAGTGCTCTGGAGTAGGATCTTCTGCCCACAGGGGCTGGGCAGAGGGGTTGGGCCTGGGCTGTTCCCGAAAGTCCTGGCTGATCCCTGCATCGTGCTGTTTCTGCTTCTCTCCCCAGCCAAAGAGCAGTACTTCATTCCAGGTAGGAGAGCAGGGGCAACCAAGGCCAGCCTGGGGGGCGTTGACAGTGGTTGTGGGGACAGGCTCGGGGGCCCGGGAGGCCCTGGGTTGGTCGAGGCTGCTTGGAGCCTGCCCTGGGCCCCTGAGCCCCCGCCCTCTCGTGGCAGGCACGGAGGATTACCAGCTGAACAGCGAGTGCAACAGCGACGTCGTCTGTCCCCACAAGTGCCGCTGTGAGGCCAGCGTGGTGGAATGCTCCAGCCTGAGGCTTGCCAAGATCCCCGAGCGCATCCCCCAGTCCACGGCCGAGCTGTGAGGGCCCCGCCCTGCCACACCCCCCTTGCCCCCAGCTCCCATGAAACCTCCTGGGCCTGCCTACTTGGGGCTTTCCTGTGGTCCAGCTCTGTTTGGGGACCCTGGAGACACTAGTCAGGAGCCTGCCAGCTGCTGGCTTTGGCAGGAAGCAGCCCCCCCCTGCCATGGCCCCTCTGCTTCTGTCGCAGCCCTGCACACCCTCGAGGCAGTCTCTGGCACCTGGGGCAGGCCTCCAGCCTGAACCAGGGGTGGCTTTGCACAATGATGCTTTTGTCTTCTCAGGGAGAACATGATTCCAAAGTTTTTGAACTATTACTTTTTTCCTCTGTCTCAAAATATGAATTTTTCTGCATCTGTATGCACCTATGTATGCATGTACATAGATAACTGCACACATCTGTCATGTATGTTTGTAAATTTTCATGGCATTTTTAATGTTAAAAATACCCCCATTCACCCCCCGTACTAGGCCCAGCCTTCCTTTGATAGGATCAGTTTGCCTCGCCAGATCAATTCTTCTAGGAGTCCCCTCTGTTTGAGTCCCAAACATTCTCAGTTGGGAAGGTCCTTTAATGGCTGTCATTCATGGGTCGTGAGTTCCCTTCATTGCCTCTCGCAGACGGCTGAACAATAATGAGATCTCCATCCTGGAGGCCACTGGGATGTTTAAAAAACTTACGCATCTGAAGAAAATGTGAGTGACCCACTGGCAGGAATGAGCCTGTCAGGACGACGGCCGGGGATGGAGAAGGAAGATACCGGGGCTAGGGGAGACCCCCTGGGGGGGGCAGGGAAAGGCTCCCGTGCATGGGGCCGTTGGGTGCAGGAAGTGAGGGGCCTGAGCCATTCATCATCCTCCTCGCTGCCTGCCCTCCCAGCAACCTGAGCAACAACAAAGTGACAGAAATCGAAGATGGGGCCTTTGAGGGGGCAGCTTCTGTCAGCGAGCTGCACCTGACCGCCAACCAGCTGGAGTCCATCCGGAGTGGCATGTTCCGGGGCCTGGATGGCTTGAGGACCCTGTGAGTGTGGGGGGGCTGGAGAGCAGGGTGGGCCAGCTGGACAGAGGCGGGCAAAGCCAAGCTACAGAGGGCGTTTATGCACTAAATGGAAAGGAAGAGAGGGTGGGAGACCTCCTCCCCCAGTCCCAGCTTGCAGGACACGTAATCCAATGTTGTACTCTGTGGTGAGGCCTGTTCTCTTGCTCCCTGGGGTGTGGGGCTGATGCCTGGTGGAGGCATGGAGGGACGTGGCCCCTCCTGGAGGTCCCTTCCCATTGCCATGTGTTTGGGAGTGGCTGGCATGATTGCAGGCAGGAGGCGCTGGATGGCTCCATGGTGGGGACCTTGCTGAGGTGACTCTGTGGGTATAGATGGGGAGCAGGGATATTTCGGCACCATTTCTGGGATGCTGGGATCCCATAACTCAGAACCCAGGCAAAGCTGACCAGACCCCGGGAGCTTGGCAGGATCCTGGGCTCATCTACCCCTCCCTGAAGGCTGCAGGGAGCCTCTCTCTGTGGCCAGGCAGTGCTGGCTCTTCAGATGATCCTGTGGACAGGTAGAGTGTCCAGCAGACAGTGCTGTCCAGTCAGACTTCCCACAGTGATGGAAATTTTTCCTGTCCACCCTGTCCAATCCAGTAGCCACATGTGGCTGTGGAGCACTTGAAATGTGGTGGGTGCTACTGAGGAGCTGAATTTTGAATTTCATTTCATTGTAATTGATTTAAACCTAAGTACTTACATGTGGCTAGGGCTACTATGTTGGACACCGTGGCTCTAGAAGCCACCTGCTCAATTTTAATCCCAGCTGTGCAGCAGGGTATAGATGTGTCTTCTGAGCACATAGCATTGAATTTGTGGAATGTAGATGAATGTGTGACAGGGCTCCCTGTGGATTTTTGTTTGTTTGACTTACAGAAACAGAATTTCATTGTGCACTATGTTTTGCAGCTTGCTTTTTTTCACTTGTGAATATAGCATGACCATTTTTCCAGCCTATTCCTATAGGGCTGCCTCATTCTTCTTTGTGCTTGCCTAGTATTCTTCGAACGAGGGTGGCGTGGGCTATCCAAACAGTCCCTTGTGTTCTTTCTGAGGATAGGGACAGAGGAGAGGGGAAGGGCCAGTGCTGGAGCAGAGGCAGCAAGAGCACACAAGTGACAGTGCAGAAAATGCCCTTGACCTCACCACCATCCAGAAATGACTACTGTTAAGTGTTGGTACAAACAACTACACTTGCAGTCTTTTTATATATATAGAGAGAGACACACACACACACACACCTGTATACACATACGTACCCATATATGCATACATACAGATATGTATATATCCAAAAAACCACCACCACAATCTATGCCATCAACATAATCCATTTCCTCCAAAAGTTTCCTTCTGCCCCCTTTATTTGTTATTGTAATTAGTAGTATAATAAAAACACCTAACATAAGATCTACACTTTTGGCAAATTTTTAAGTATATAATACAGGATTGTCTATTATAGGCACTGTGCTATACAGTAATCCTTAGGACTTATACATCTTATATAAATGAAATACAGATTTTTATTTATTTTTTTAATTTAAGACATTTAAAGTTTTATTATTGTGAATTCAATTGTTTGGCCATCTCTCTGGATCATCTGAGCTTGTCTCTTGTTACAAAATGGGATTCTAAATGTATGCATCTTTTCATTTTATTCTTAAATACTATACTTCAGGAAAATTACTAACTGTGGAAGAACTATAACCAGAAATTTGAATAGATAGAAACATGAACGATAGACATGCTTAAGTATAATAACAATATTAACTTTACATTAGTAGGCAATCCTGCTAGAGCTGTAAAAATTCACATGGAAACAATTATGAAAAAGTTTAATGTGGATCATAAACAACAGATACATTTTTTTTTTCTTTTTGTCTTTTTTCGTGACCGGCAACGGATAGCAACCCTCGGTGTCGCGCCCGTACCGGACCGGGACCGGCAACGGGATCGCAACCCTCGGTGTTTCTCCCGCACCTCGCTCAGCCAGTGAGCGGGAACCGGTCTGTATGTGCTGCGGGCAGGAGCTGGGGCTGAGGAGATTGTCTGGGGCTAAGTGGACATGGTCTGGCAGGTCACAGGAAAGAGTTTAAATATGGTTCTGTGGGCAACTTGGAAGCCGTTAATGGGCTTTCAGCTGGAGAGTGATGTGACCCAATTTAGGTTTTAGGAAAGTCTCTTGGGCATTGATGTGGAACATGGTCTGGTGATGGGGAGAGCCACCAGGCATCCAGGGAGCGAAGGTGAAGGCTGGCAGGGGGCCGTGACAATGGGATGAGAGGAGGGGACAGAGCCGTGAGTCATCTCAGTGGCAGGAGCGTCTGGAGGTGATCTCGGGTGTGCAGAACTCTCCCTCCGATGGTCCTGCGGTGCTGTGTTTCCCAGCTCTGTGCCTCCAGAAGAGAATTATGAACTAGATGGGGATGGGCAAAGCCATGACACAGGCAGGTTGCTGGGAGGGCCCAGTGAGGGGCTGTCCCCTCCTCTCTCACTGCTGCTCGTCCCCAGGATGCTGAGGAACAACCGCATCAGCTGCATCCACAACGACAGCTTCGCAGGCCTGCGCAACGTCCGGCTGCTCTCGCTGTACGACAATCAGATCACCACCATCTCGCCCGGAGCCTTCGACACCCTGCAGTCCCTTCCCAGTGAGGGGCTGTCCCCTCCTCTCTCACTGCTGCTCGTCCCCAGGATGCTGAGGAACAACCGCATCAGCTGCATCCACAACGACAGCTTCACAGGCCTGCGCAACGTCCGGCTGCTCTCGCTGTACGACAATCAGATCACCACCATCTCGCCCGGAGCCTTCGACACCCTGCAGTCCCTTTCCACGCTGTAAGTCTCACCTCGGACGGAGGCCAGGCAGGCATGCGGCCCTGGAAGCAGCCATCTGGACCCACAACACCACCTGCCATCCCAAGGGGATGGTCTCCTTGGGTGGTTCCTTTTAAAGAGCTCACCCAGGGGATGTGTGTGTGGGTCCTCCCGTTTTGCTGAAAGCTGGGATCCACCACTTGAGAGTCCTGCCTCTAATCCCAAAAGCCAATCCCCTTGTTCATGGTTGGCTATCTGGGGAAGAGGGTCAGGTGGCTGCGTGGCCAGTATGTGACAGATCCTGCAGTGGTGACAAGACAGGAGAGGGCTTTGCAGGCACAACTGAGACTGGCAGTGTGTTTTCATGGTCACGTGGCCTCCCTCTTCCAGAAACCTCCTGGCCAACCCTTTCAACTGCAACTGCCAGCTGGCCTGGCTGGGTGACTGGCTGCGAAAGAGGAAGATTGTGACAGGGAACCCACGGTGCCAGAATCCAGACTTCCTGCGGCAGATTCCTCTGCAGGACGTGGCCTTCCCTGACTTCAGGTGTGAGGAAGGTAACTCGTGGGCCCCTGGGTGGCAGGGGAGAGGGCTCGCTGGGTCCAAGTGTCAGGGGATGGGGCAGGTCAGAAGGATGGGGAGTGGGCAGGCAGAACCCCTTGACATGCCCCTGAGGTGGGGGGGGGTCTGATTATGGGGAGAGCGAGGAGACACCCTGCCCAGGGAGTATTATTTGTGTGGTTGTAAGAGCAATCATGTGCTTATTATTAAAAAAATGGGAAAATATGGATAAAAGAAGGAAATACTCATTACCTGTTATCCCATCACTTGAGAAAATCAGTTGACAATTTAGTGTATTTTCTTTATATAAGTGCATTTAACCTGGAGACCCACCTCCTGGCTGTTCTAAGTGCTTCAGACTTACGGGGTCACCCTGCACTTACATACAATGGGACCCTCCTACATCCCCCATATGTGGGAAACCCTGATCACGTCTTGCTCCAATGTCCTGTTTCCTCTGAATTCTCAATCTCTCCCCTGTGGCCACTCCCTTCTTCCCCTCCGAGAATAGGATGTGGCCCTGTTCCGTCTATATTTCTCCAGAGCCTCATGCACCCAAGGTCACTGTTGGAAGCAGGTTTTTACTGCAGGTGACAGAGCAGGGCTGCATCTCAGCCCAGATGTCCTGTCCCTGAGAGTTCCTCCACACCCCCTGCCACAGGGACTTGGCTGACATCGGCTCCCAGTCCTCCTCTCCTTCTTGGTGCCAGGGCACCTTCCTTCTCCCCTGTCGTCTCCTTCCTCAGCTGCCTGCTGCCCTCTCTCCAGGGGGCTTCCAGAGGGTAGATCTGCTCTCAGGCTGGCCCATCCAGGCCATGTGGAGGGGAGGGTGATACAGGGGGGACCTTCAACTTATGCACCAAGAAAGACCAGCAGGGTATTTTCCTAAACAAAATCAATGGATTCTCTAAGAGCAATTTTGCTTCTAACTTTTAAAATTAAAAAAAAATCTCCATACTATTCATATGCAGTAGATATTTTTATATCAACTCATATAATAATAGCTTGGTTGTCTTATTTAATTCTGATCTTTTTAACCTAGCTATATATTTTAGGCATTTTCTCATGCCATTCACTATCCTTTGAAAGCATAGTTTTTTCCAAGAAATAGTTTCTTTTTATTTTTCTTATTACAAAAGTGATGCATCATCATCCCTTAAAAACAACAACAGAGGACAATCCAGAAGGAGAACAGAAAGATCACCAATGTGTCCCACCCCCCAGACCCCATTCCCTGACCCTGTATGACTCCTGTCAACATTTCACTCTGTGGCTATCCAAATCTTTGCTGTGTGTTCACGTGCGTGCATGTGACACACGTAGGGTCTCACAGTGCCACCTGTGAAAACCTTTCAACATGACAGCCATTGTTTGGAGGCATGACAGTTGACGGAACCAGCCCCTGCTGATGGCACTTAGATAACTCCCAGAGCTCTGCTCTTACGCATCATGCTGCCAGGAACATCCTTCTAGATAACTCTCTATGTATACGTGAGACTTTTCCCCTTAGAATAACTTCCTGCAAGTGAAAGGATGCAGACAATTTTGAGATTTTGCTGCTAAGAGGCAGTAGAGCCCAGTGGGCGAGGGGGCAGCATGCTTGGGTTCCAGTCCTGGTACCACCTCTTCCAGATGGGGACCTTGGGCATGTTGTTTAACCACTCTGCCCTTAGTTTCCTCATCTCTAAAATGGGCTAATAGTAGTACACCCTCTAGAGAGATGTTTTGAGGATTCATTGAGTTCGTCCTTACTTGTTGTGTGGTGTCTGCATGCTGCCGGCCCTCTGTAACTGACAGTCACTATCTCCAGGGAGTACATGCTACCTGCTTCTGAGTGTCCTCAACAACTCTGACCGTGCTGTCCTTATCATCCCTTCGGCACCCAATCCGAAGAAAGCAAAACACACAGAGGGTACTCAGTAACATTTATGAATAAATGAATGAGTCAGTGAAGGGATGTTGTGCTAGCAAGAGCTCAGATTCTGCCCCACTTTGCCTCTGACCAACTTTATGACCTGAGCAAATCATCTAACCTCTCCAGATCTCAGTAAAATGGAGATTCATCCATCCATCCATTCATTCATTCATTCATTCATTCATCTGATCTATTCAAAGGGCAGCCATGTGCCAGGTACTGAACTGGGTGTTGGGCTCCATCAGTGAACAGAGAAGAAAGAAAAGAGAGACACAAATCTCTGTCCCCATGGTACTTGCATTCTGGGGGGCGATTCTGATACCCCACTACCGCACTGTGAAGGAAGTGATGTTTGACAAAGTGTCCAGCAGTTGTAGGAGTGGCTGCCACCCTCCTTCCCTGCATTGCCCAGGTCCATCTTGGGTCTGAGGTAGAAGAGGTTGACCAAGACCTATTTTATCCTCAAAACTCTCCAGGGGGCTTTGTCCCTGGTGGTGGTGGGTAGGGGGACAGGTGTGTAGCAAAACAGAGACTTACTGGCAGCCAAGGTAGTTTCAGAGAGGGGCTTCTGTCCTGAGGGGCCCCGGAGCATGGCCCTTACTGCAGGAGCCCCCTCCCTGACCGGGCTTCATGCCTTCTTCCCCAGGCCAGGAGGAGGGGGGCTGCCTGCCCCGCCCGCAGTGCCCCCAGGAGTGTGCCTGCCTGGACACTGTGGTCCGATGCAGCAACAAGCACCTCCGGACCCTGCCCAAGGGCATCCCCAAGAACGTCACAGAACTGTGAGTAGCCGGGGGCCCCGCACCCCCACGTGTGTCCACAGCGCAGGAACAGCGGGGGCATTTTGGGGGCGGAGGGCTGGGGAGGGCAGGTGACCAAGAGCAGGTGTCAGCTGACTAACAGCTGGGGTTAGGGCTTTGCAGAAGGCATTGAGCTTCCCTTTGATTCTCCCTCTGCATCATCTGATGACACACAGTCCCTGCGGCGAGTGCATCATCCCTTTAAACTAAGCTCTGCCTTTAACATAAGGAATAACATTACTTTTCCCACTTAACATCTCACGAGCATTGCTGTCGCTCATGAAAACTCTCACAGTGGGATTTTTTTTACAAGTGACATAATGTTCTTCACATGAACCTGCTATGATCCATATAACAAATCCCCTTAAGTTATTTCCAATTTTTTACTGTCATAAATAGCACCAAGGTGAATGTCCCTTCAGTGACACCTCTAGTCAATGAGCAGTGAGTTTTCATGACACTCGCCCCCTTTGGCCTGAGGGCCTTCCAGGAAAAGCTGTGTCCTTTGCACTGCCACTGACCATGTGCGAAAGTGGCCTTCCCACCTCCTGCGTCCACGCTGAGTACTGCGGTGCTCATCTGAGCTCGCGTGAGGGTGTGGATGTAAATGCACATGGCAAACAGGGCTGGCACTGGGGCTTCTTCCCCAGCCCCCTCTAAATGAAATGATTTGGTCATCCTGACTGCTTGCATTGGTCATCCTGTCCCATGGCATTGATCCCTCCAGGCCTCCATAGCTGAGCTTTTCTCTTCCCCATGGTGAGTGCACGAGGTTTTCATCTGTATGTCTTTCATTGCCAGCAAGGCTGGCCATTCTTCACAGGCACATCAACCACCACAGGCTTTTCCTGTGACTTACCTTCCCCATCCTCTGCCCAGTTTTCCATTGCAGTGTTAGTGCTCTGCAAACCTCATGTGTCCCAGTTTTCTCCTCGGTGCCTCAGAGCAGCCCTGGAAATAATGAGTCGGTGGGGAAGCCTGCCTTCTTTGACTGTGGATGCTGAAGTTAGAGTCTGGGAAAATCATTTGCCTTTCCTAAGCCTCAGTTTCCTATATCTGAAATGGGGCCACTCAGGTGTATTTGCAAGGGCTGCTGCAAGGATCCTTACAGTGAGACAGGTGGCAAGTCACCTTGTAAGACACAGAGCCATGGGTAAGGATGAGTAAAGCCCTGATTTTGCTGCTCTCTGGATCCTTGGGAGGTGGGGGAGAGCCATGCTGCGGGCTGCAGTTGGTGGGGGTCCTGTGTCGGCACCTGGCACTTGGATCACTGTCTAGCAACTTCCAGTCCGGAGGCGAGGATGGCTGGGGAAGAGGGGAGGAGGGAAGTTGTAGAAATGGGAACTTTGGGAAGCTTTGGGCTTAGGAGGATTTTTGGTGGGCTTGGTTTTAAGGATGATGACTTGGATACTGGTGTATGTAGTGGGAGCCAGAGGGGAGGCCAAGGTGGGGAGAACAGAAGGAGGCTGCTGCAGAGCCCAGGCAGGTGACATGTGTGGCTGGGAGTGGTGTGAGAGCAGAACCAAAGCAGGAGAAGCCAGCGGTTGTGGGAGTGGCTGCAGAGGGAGCTGGAGAAACGACATCGGGGTTCGGAGCCTATGTGGGCAGGAACATAGAGCGGAGCTGGTGGAATTAGGGGAAGCTGGTTTGGGCATGTTTGGGTCAGAGGCTTCCATGGGAAGCAGTTAGAGAGGGAGCTCTGGGAGCTGGTGAGGGGCCTGGCAAGTGAGCCTAAGAGGCATTAACATGCAGATCAGATCTATTTGGCCAGGAATAGAGCAGAGCAGGGGATGAAGGCAGGGGGCGTGTTAGTGCCCATGGGCAAGGAGGGGGCTGAGAGGGCGAGTCAGGGAACAGGAAGGAAACCAGGAGAGGCTTCATGTCCTAGTGGCATTTACCAAGTTCTTTGGATGGCACCTACCCAAATGGCCTTAAATATTTTCCTGTTTTTCCTTTAATAAACAATTCTGGGCCAATTGTGTGGTCGACATGTAGGAGAGGAGATGAGTGGGAAGCCCCTGGCTGCAGGGGAGGTTCTCCTCAGCGTGGGGCCATGGCCAGAGGCGAGATGGGCACTAACACTGCTGTGTCCTCTCTGCAGCTATCTGGACGGGAATCAGTTCACGCTGGTTCCGGGGCAGCTGTCCACCTTCAAGTACCTGCAGCTCGTGTGAGTATCCAGGCCAGCCTCCGAGGACAGGAGGGCCTTTGGCCTCTAGCCAACACAGGTCCAGCTTTCTTGGAATTTCCTACAGACCCTACTTACGGGGCAGATGCCTTTTTTTTCCCCTTCACTTCCCCCTTCGCCCTGGGAACGTCTGTGCATAGAGCTGTTTTGCCACCTAGTGGCCCTGCTTGGGAATTGCATGGTTCCAGGCACTGTTGGGTGGGACCCTGTCTGACTGCACACACCATCGCCTCAGACCCTCCTCTAGGCTGATCATTATTGTTAAGGTGGGTTATCCTTGCAAAGACAGGAGCCAGGGCACAAGTAGAGGGTGATAGAAAACTTATTCTTGGCCCTCAAACCAAATATGAAATATGGCAGCTACCAAAATACTCATACATCTGTAACACATGTACATTTCTTTGAGGTTGACATCTGCTTTTCTGTTATTTCCACATTTCACCCTGGGAATATACAAAATAAGCCTGAGGACAATAAGCTCAGCTCCTCTTAGCCTTCCGTTCTAATTAGCACCTCACTTCAATTGTCTTTATCTGCTCATTGGCCAGATTCTACCAAAAAGAAGTCCAGAAAGCATTCCATCTTAGTGTGGCTTGGGGCAGTGCTACTCAAAGTGTGGTCTATGGCCCAGTGTCAGCCCAAGATCTGTTTGTTATAGGTCTTTAATTAGATAAGGAACTTATACCAGGCTGTAAATCAATGTATTGCTTCCTTCATTAAGAAAGTCTAGCTGTGAAAACAGTGCTAGTTAAACTCAGCTCTGCGTTTAGTGACTTAGGGGATTACATTTGGCACAGGTTCCTTTTAGACTGGTAACATTCATTTCAAGGAATGGCTACTTGGAGTCACGCTGGTTGACGGAGTTTTGAAGTTCCAATTTTCTGTCTTTGCTTCATGACCTAGCAAATGTGTTTTGAACGTTCCAATGGGGATGGGTGGAGTAATTTGGTGGCTGGTGACAGAGTCACCAAAGAAAAGGACTTAATACTGCAAGTTTCCCCAAAACTTTCTTTGGTCTAGTCTGAGGCAGCTCCATTAGTGGCTCAGATACACTTGGGGAGGAAAGGAGGGAAAGAGGACTCATGTCGGGCTGGTTCTTGCTGTGAAACTGCCTCTTGGGGGCTAACATACCACCACCTCCTCATCACAAGGAAGGACCACCAAGTGTAGTAAATGTTCAGTGAAGTACAATGTGAGGGTACTTGAAAAAGTTCATGGAAAGAGGAATTAGAAGATAATACAAACCTTTCCGTGACCTTTTTGAAGACCCCTAGTATATCTCTAAAAACAATGGAACGATTTGAATGAGGTTAGTTAGAGGAGAGTTTACAAGGAGAAGGTGAAGGCAGGGCACATTGTTGCATTTTATAAATATTTCCTGAGCCAAGAGCTGCAGGAAGTGGGTGGATATGAAGACCCCCAAGTCACAGGCCCTCCCCCGCCGGCAGTCATGGCTTAGGGAGGATGCAGGAGAGCAGAATGGGAGCACGGGGAAGTCGTGTGGAGTGATAAGGGTTCCAACAAGGTAAATGCAGATTAGGTCTGTGGCTCAAAGCAGAGCTTGATGAACTCAGGGTGGGGATCTGAGGGAGAGGAGCATCTTAGAAAACAAGTCAGAGTTCACGGTGGGCATAGGGAACAGACGTGTGGTATGCTCAGAGATTTTCAGGGAGTTTAGTAAATCCAAAGCCTGCAAGGCCTGGGGGAAGACACAGGAGGGAAGGGCAAGCCCAGGAGCAGCTGGCAGGTGCCAGGCTAGAGGGCCTGGAGTTCACATTTTAGGCAAGCGGGAGTTACTGCGAGTTTCTTGGTAGGGAAGTGACCTGGTCAGATTTGTGTCATGGTAAGCTTGCTGTGGTGCCCACCCCCATGGAAGATGGGTCAAGAGGGGCAAAGCTGTGGGTAGAGATGAGTCAGAGTCTGAGGCAGAAACCAGGAGGACGGGTGAGGCTGGACATAAGCAGAAGCACAGGAGGAGGGACAGATGGGAGAGGTGATCAGAGGCACAGGCCAGAGATGGCTCAGAGGAGTGGAGGTGTGGGCAGGGCCGTCTCTGGGCTGCTGCGGGTGGAGCAGGGGCAATGGGCGTGGGAGGAAGCACGAGATGTGCACTTGAGTTCCAGCATCTGTGGGACATCAGGAGGAGGGAAACTCATGAGAAAGGACAGGCTGGGGCCACAGAGGAGGGCGCTGTCAGCACAGGATGGTGAGCGAAGCCAGGGGCACCCGAGGGCACCCAGAGTGGACTAAACTGGAGCAAGGATGGGGCCCTAGTGATCCCCGCACTTCGGGGTGGGGTGAGAATGAGGGCACAGAGGCAGGAGCAGCGTGGAAGACAGCTGGGGTGCGAGGACACACGGGGGAGGTGAGAGTTCTGAGAAGAGGGGCAGGTGGCCACTTGTGCCAGGTGCTACGGGGCGACTTGGAGAACACATGGCAGTGACCTGGGACTTGAATCTGGTTCTGCCTCCCACCAGCTGGGTGACCCTGGATGAGTTACTTAATCACTTGAGACTCTGGGTCTTTTTCAAACAGGTTTACTCTCTCCCTCATAGGGTAGGTGGGAGGGCTAGTGAACTAGCGCACGTAGAGTGCTAGCAAGAGAGACAGGAGAGAGCCGTAGATCTGGCAGCTGGGAGGTGGCTCGGGCATTCGGTGGGAGCATTTCCGAGGTGGGAGGCAAGAGGTGGGCTGTGCTTGAGGAGGGATGGGGGGTGGCGAGGAAGCCCTGGGGACGTGGAGGGAGTTCAGGGAGCAGAGTGGGGCTCTAGCTAATCGCAAACCGTGAACCACGTGTTCCTCTCCACCCCACCGCACCCCCACCATTGAGCTGGTGCGAGTCCTGGCCCGCTGGCTGGGGGAGGCCATGGGCAGAGTCGGGGAGGGGAAGGAGCCCGAGAAGGTGAGCCAGGCTTGAGTGGTTCTTTCTTTCTGAACTTACAATGCTTTTGCCTTTTCCAGGGACCTGAGTAACAACAAGATCAGTTCCTTAAGCAATTCCTCCTTCACCAACATGAGCCAGCTGACCACGCTGTGAGTCCCAGCAGGGGTCATGGGGCGGGGTCACTCAGGCCATGGCTGCTGACACTTTCCCAGGCCCGGCCCACCGGACAGTGCGCCGGGCCCGTGAGCCTCATGTAGGTACCTAAGTCAAAAAATAGAACACTGCCAGCTTCCCAAAATGCCCCCCTGTTCTTTCCTGATCATTAGTCCCCCGACCCTGAGGTAGCCCTTGCTCTGACTTTGTGATGATCACTTACGTGAATTTTTTAATAGTACTGCCCATCTACATATGCGTTTTAAACAATATAGTTTAATTTTGCCCATTTTTAACCTATATAAATTGAATCATGTAGGATATATTCTTTTATACTTGGCTTCTTTTGCTGACATTTTGTGTGCGAGATCCGTTCATGTCGTGTGAAGCTGCGGTCTGCTCGTTTTCCCTGCTATGTAGCGTTCCTCTGTAGGAACATGCCACACTTTCCTTAGCCAGTCTACTATTGACGGTTGTTTCCAGTTGGGACTGTGGTGAGTAGTGACTGAACATTTTTGTGCCCATATTCTAAGATATTCAATGCAGGCTTTAATTAGATTCCGAGCAGTTGGTCAGAATGCATGAACAAACATCCTTTCCATCTGCCTGGTGCTTAAGAGTGTATCTTATTCACTTTCCCAACACCTCATTTTACAGATAATCCATCAGGGACTTCAGGGGTTTTCCCAAGGCTCTACCGTGATAAAACAGCAGAGCCAGTGCCCCTCAAAGAAAGGGGCTGGCTCAGCCAGTCTCCAGAGGCAGAGTGTGGGCTGAGGTCGTGAAGCACTCATGCTGGGCCACCCACCTGCACTGAGCTGCTCAAGGATCTGCAAGTCAACCAGTTCCCATTTCACAGTCTTCATGACAACCTAGTGACTTGATTGCTCTTTCCTGGTGACATTTAGCCTTGGAAGGGCCCTCAGGGTCCCAGTGAGCCTGCATGTGAAGCTGCCTTGATCTAGGACTGTGTTTTACCCAGCAGATCCTGCCTTCTAGGGGACATCTGGGGATGTCTGAAGCCATTCTTGGTTGTCACAACTTGGGGGAAAGGTGCTCCTGGCATCTAGTGGGTAGAGGCCTGGGATTCTGTTGAACATCCAGCAATGCACAAGACAGCACCCCCCACCCAACAAAGAATTGTCAATAGTTCTGAGGTTGAGAAATCCTGGTCTAAGTGATCCTGACAGCCACAAGGAAAACAGCCTTTTCCTGTGATATGAATGTCTCATTTCTCATTATTTTTCTAAAATATTTTTATCAAGTTATAATTAATATGCAATAAACTGCACATATTTAAAGTGCAGAAATTGATGAGTTTTGACCCAGGGACACACCCAGGAGACCATCATCACAGTCAGGAGTAGTACCCTGGGTAACCCCTCCTCCTGCCTCCCCCAGCCCCCAGCCCCAGGCAACTGATCTGCTGTCACTGTGGGTTAGTTTGTGTTCGCTACAATGTTACAAGAATGGAATCACAACAGGAATGTTGTGGGTCCCTTCCTTCTCATTGCTGAGCAGTATCCCATTGCGTGGGTGTGTCGCAGTTGTTCGTCCATCCGTCTGTGGATGGGCACTTGGGTTGTTTCCAGTGTGGGGCTGTTTCAAGTATCATTTCCCTTTTTATCTACCCATCTACGCTGGATGGATTCATTTATTTGGAAGCATTTTGGGACAGTGGTTTAATCTGTGGGCTCTGGAAATTGAGAATTTTAATGAAACACCCTTAATAACTTTGTAATATGACCCCCGGGAAGTTCTATCACCTCTCAGAAGCTCAGCTGCCTTATCTGTAAGATGGGGGTAGTAACAGTCCCTTCTTCCTAATGGTTCATTATTACATGTGCCTGGACTTCACCTGTCTGCCCTGGGAGTGATGGGCTGAGACATGACAGCTTCACAGGACACCGCCCATGCCCCTGGCTGCACAGTGTCCAGGAGGGAACATTCCCAGTTGTAGGAGCAGCAAACCTTCTTTGTCAAGGGTTTATGTGGAGCCATGCACTATGCTGGGAGCTCCACCTAGATTGTCTCATTTAACCCATGAAGAGCCCTCTCAAGTTGGCATAATTTTTGTCCCTATTCTACAGCTGAGGGAACTGATTGAGGTGGATGGGATTGGGGGACATGCCCAGGAGCTCTCAGCTAATAAGGGCAGAGCCAGGGCATGCCACTGTTCCCATCCGCTGTCTGCTTCCCTAGAGAGCAGGAGGGGGCTGTTGAGCGGAAGCCCCTCTGCGTCCTGCATGGCAGAAGTGCCTGCAGGGGCCTGGACCGCTAATGCAATGCCCTCCCCCCGTCCTTTGTCCTGCCCGCAGGATCCTCAGCTACAACGCCTTGCAGTGCATCCCTCCTCTGGCCTTCCAGGGGCTCCGCTCCCTGCGCCTGCTGTAAGTCTCCTTGTTCCTCATTCCTCCAGGAAACCACCCCCCGCCCCTGGGCCCTGCCACCCACCCCGTGGGCAGAAATGTCCCCATATCTGAGACCCCAGCAGGGCCAATGCTATGTCCAGTGGTGGGAGTACAGGACACACTCATTCAAGCCCCTTGCAGAAGCCAAGTAATGGATGGGAAGCAATCTGAGAAATGGGAGTGCTGTAACCCTGAAGTGGAGTTTGTGGTGTATATGTGTGTGGCGGTGGGGGGGGGGTTGTCCATGATAAGGTGGCCTTTCATTTGCATATGAGACTTCCGTTCAGATTGAAAATGTTTGTTTGCAAAGATCTCTGAATCTTCTTTAAGAATTCCCTCTGTGAGGTTTTGCCTTGTGGTCAAAGCCCCCTGTCAGCCCCACCAGGGGCCAGGTGACATTCTCCCACCCCTGACCGATGGCTGGCCCTAATAACTTCCTTACCAAGAAGCCCCTCCCTCTTAGTCTCTCTGGGCAAGCGAGGGAGGGCGCTCAGGTGCACGTGTCCAATTTGTGATATAAACACAGAGCTTGAGTTATTTATCACAGCAAAAAAAGTCCTCTGAGGGACTGGGAGACAGGGTGGTCTACCTAGAGTATTAAGGGCTCCCCCCTCCTTCCCAGTGGCCAGCAGGGCAGGGTCTCTGCTGGGGCCGTCTTCCTCATAGCCCTGACCAGAGTCTGAAGGATAAGCTGGGCATGTCCCTCTCAGCAGAGAGTTGGGCCTGTCCTTCAGCAGGTCTCCCCTTTCTGTCTCTGATAAGGCACCAGCAGCCTCCTCTCTCCGCAGGTCCCTCCACGGCAACGACATCTCCACCCTCCGAGAGGGCATCTTTGCAGACGTGACCTCGCTGTCTCACCTGTGAGTAACTCCAGCCCAATTCTCTGGGCCTCTTTGGATTTGAACCAAACTTGGATTCTGAGGAAGACTGTTCCTCCTGAGTTTGTCAGCACTTTGTTGCTTTTATCCTGAAATCAAGCTTGTGAACTTCCCATGTGCAACCTCTTGGACTCTTACCCATTCAGTGGCTCATCAGCACCACAATGAGGTAGAAGCACGATTCTTCCCAAGTAGTGGTAAAGGTAGCAACGACCATCATCAGCTGATGGGATCCTGACGGCCCTCCTACCACGTGGGTAGTGTTACTCTCCTTTTACACACGAGGAAGTAGGCCCAGAAAAAGTGAGAAGCTTGCCCAAAGTTGCATAGCTGGGAGGTGGTGAAGTTTCTGACTCCAAAGCAGATACTCTTAAGCACGACACCAGTATTATGCCTCCAATGTCACACAGTGGGGGATAATCCCTGGAAATGTACTACCTCCAAGAGGTGGTGTAAATGACATAGATTTGCTTCCACAGCCATGTAGCTGGCAGAGCCATGAGGATTGCTTAAAAGCAATAGGCTTGATTCCTCAAAAACCAGAATTACTACATGACCCAGCAATTCCACTCCTGGGTACGTACCCCAAAGCAGGGACTCAAACGGATACTTGTATACCAGTGTTCATTGCAGCATTATTCACAATCGCCCAAAAGTAGACACAACTTGTGTCCATCAGATGACAGAATAAACAAAATACAGTATATACATGCAACGGGATATTAGCCATAAAAATTAATAAAGTTCTGATACATACAACATGGATAAAGCTTGAGACATGCTAAGTGAAATAAGCCAGACAAAAAAGGACAAATATTGTATGATTCCACTGATAGGAGGCACCCAGAACTGACGAAAAGTAGAATGGTGGCCGCTGGAGGCTGGGGGTGGAGGGATAAGCCAGACAAAAAAGGACAAATATTGTATGATTCCACTGATAGGAGGCACCCAGAACTGATGAAAAGTAGAATGGTGGCCGCTGGAGGCTGGGGGCGGAGGGGACGGGGAGTTGGCGTGTAATGGGTACAGAGTTTCTATTTGGGGTGATGAAAAAGTTTTGAAAATAGTGGTGATGGTTGCATAGCACTGAATGTAATCAAAGTCACTGAATTGTACACTTAAAATGGAGAAAATGGCAAATACTATGTTATGTATATTTCACCGTATAAAACAATGAGGAAGAGAAGCAGCACTGGGCTGTGGCAGGGCCTCCTAATCCCGGAGCTCGGGCTGGGTGCGGGGCAGACGTGTGCTCTCCTGGCATCTCTTGGCTACTGGCTGAGGCAGGATACATGGACTGTGCTGAGACCAGTGGCTTCTGTTGGGACCCTGGGTGGGAGGGACGACCCCTTCTCCCTGCCCGCCCCCAGCCCCCAGGCCTGAGAGGTCAGGCACACACAGAGCAGGGAGCCTTTTGGAGTCCCCAGCATCTCTTCTTGTTTGTTCACTCAACAGTCTTACTGGATTTTCTCAGTTCTAAGACTCACCTTCTTTACATCTTAATCTTCAAAATCAGAGTGTATCTTAAAACGATGTGCATATTTACTATGGTACTGTTTCTCCCCACCTCCCAAAACATGTTAAATCAGTGGTGAATCTAACAATCTTAGACTTGAGGAAATAAGATAGCTATAGGTGCCACTCTTTGAGGATCTGCTTAAGTCAAATACCATATTATGTGCTTTATCTATGGTGTCTCGTTTACTCCTTGAACAAAATTGGAGGTAGGTTTTGTGTTGTGCACCTTCTCCACACGATTGGCAGGAACTG